TCTTAGAAGAATTAACAAACAAACATACAGAGACGTAACAAAACGATATTTTTCAAGAACTTGTGAGCCTTGTTAGTCACAAAACCTCATGGAATAGAAACTATTTATTACGAGCTTCCAGAAAGGTTTGTGAGAAAATGGCAGGGGCTTTTGGTATATCTGGATTAACTGATTTCCATGCAAATGTCAGATAGGTCCGCTTCGTAACGAGAAATTATTGCACCACTCACATAGTATAATTGAACTTAACTAAATGACAGAGAGTTAAACTAGAAGAATAAACAGATTGCATACATTATAGAAAATAAAAATAGAAAAAACCAGTGTGCGTATTCGTATAAGACACTGGAAAACTGCCTTCAAACTGGACCTGTGAATTAGTCAACAACTGTAGTACATCGAGAAGTTTATCCGTTAAACTACTTACTTCGATAACCAAGCTAAACTGACTAAAATCAATGTCTATTACAAAAACATGTAACACTGCTTTTTAATCATAAGCATGTTCGTTACCACGTGACTGGTTATTCTCATACAACAAGCAAAAGTTGTAATCTCCAGATCAGAGTTTCTCAGCCTCCTGTACCTAAATCCACTCAATTATTTGGCACAACAGTAAGACTAGTATATGCAGACGATGGATTGTTAGTTCAATCAAGACAGTCACAGTAGTCCTAACCCACAGCGACCTATAACTGTACGTCTCATGGACCATTGGCTGAGAATTACTGCTTTAGATATCATCTATTCATCCAGTGATGGATACTGCTGTTGTTGACCTGTTTCTAAACAATGTGTGGAATTGCAGCATCATATTCATAGACAAAATAAATACTATCTGCCTGACAAAAGCAAAGACACAAATGTACCTTGAACAAAACAATTCCAATGGTTTCTGGACCGCGTGTTTATTTCCAAACCGGCATAGAGATCGACAGACTAAATTAAAAAAAAAACACAAAAAACTGCTATGTTAATAAAAGCGGGTTGAAAAGAAAAAAATGTCTACATATTACAAACTTAAGCCACAGAATAGATTTAAGGCCCTCAGTAATTCCTGCCACTAATGCAGATCACGTCCCTGAGATCTGGTTTTTGAGAGTATTGTTACATCTCTGGTCGTTTGTTAATTTCCGGTATAAGTTCTTCCCGAGGAAGGCGTCTGCATAATTCGCCAAAAGTTCCGTAACCCAAAGAGCCTGAGATGATGACAAATGGACTATACTCTTCTCATGGAGGTCAGTTAAATGTTCTGGGAGAGGATGTCCTTTTTTATGGTTGTATTTCTTGCCTTAACATTGACTAGCTCTACCTCCTATCACACATCCAACAATGCCCCTTCCTTAAGTGTCTGCTCACATTTAGAGAAAATAGTCACTGTTATGGGTACTACTTGATGACCTACCACAAGTGACCTTCCAATCTTCATGTCCACTGGCCTCGATGGGTCTTCCACTACTTCCACAAGCATTGGGCTTCCTTGGTGATGTTCTTTTATTCCACCCCAAATTATCTTCTCTGACATAGGGGGTATTGTAGTTGATTTAAGTGCTGTGACACGCAAATCAACAGATGCAGAAACACTTACCGGAATTTGGCCTTTGTTGTTCCCTAACGTCATTTTATCAAAATTAACTACACACTTCCTCGGTAGTAAGTAGTCCAATCCTAACATGCATTCGTCTTCAAAGTCATCCAACTATACTTTGTGTCTGTCCTTCATGCCCACGAGCTCAATAGTTACCCACACTGGTCCCCACAACCTTGCATAATGTCCTGTCACACCATAGAGTTTCTATATGGCTTCTGGTATTTCTGCACTTTTGATCATCCAGCTTCCCTGTCACGTAGACACTATGTGTGCTTGCTATTTTACACTGTTGAAACTTTCACAATGGGGTTTAGTGGGCGTCCCTCAACATCAACCTCTACTGGTTTCCCCGAGGCTGACTTATTGGTAGTATTCTTATTACACTGGCTCCTCATATGTCCTTGCTCTCCACAGTTCCAACAACCTTTCTG